GCGATCTCAGCTCACTGCAACCTCCGCCTCACAGGTTTGAGCGATTCTCCTGCCACAGCCTCCTGAGTAGTTGGGGATTACAGGTGCCACCACCACATCCGGCTAATTCTTAATTTTTTTTTTTTTTAGTAGAGATAGTGTTTCACCATGTTGGTCAGGCTGGCCTTGAACTCATAACCTCAAGCGATCCACCCCCCTCAGCCTCCCAAAGTGTTGGGGTTACAGGTGTGAGCCACAGCGCCCGGCTGCAGCTCCACTTTCTAATACGTCCTCAAACAGAGAAATGCTTCAGTTTGGGGCGTCTAATCACAAGGTGTCAAAAAGGTAAAATAAAAAAACCTGCTTCGGGGCTTTGCTACATCACAGATGCTATAAAACTTCCTGAGAGCCAAGAAAAAAAGTAAATGTCAGCCAAAGGACGTTAGAAACATAAAAAGCAGGCCGGGCACAGTGGCTCACACATGTAATCCCAGCAGCTTGGAAGACTTAGGCAGGTGGATCACTTGAGGTCAAGAGTTCGAGACCAGCCTGGCCAACATGGTGAAACCCTGTCTCTACTAAAAATACAAAAAAATTAGCCAGGTGTGGTGGTGGGCACCTGTAATCCCAGCTACTCGGGAGGCTGAGGCATGAGAATTGCTTAAACCTGGGAGGTGGAGGTTGCAGTGAGCCGACATCACACCATTGCACTCCAGCCTGGACAACAGGCTGAGACTTCATCTCAAAAAAAAGAAACATAAAAAGCAAAAGGAGTGTTCTTCTGATTAGTTGGCCCAGGATGCTTTGAGCAAATAGTTCGAGGTCACATGAGGGGCACAGCTCCCCTGGGTAAATCTTGGCCTAGGGTGGTCATTTGGGGTTAATACCACTACCATGGATGGTGCTGGTCCACAGGTATGCTTCCCTGCTTCCCCCCTCCCCCCCGATATCGGGTCTTGCTCTGTTGCCCAGGCTGGAGGGCAATGGCATGATCATAGCTCACTGCAGCCTTGACCTCCCATGCTCAAGCAATCCTCCCACCTCAGCCTCCTGAGTAGCTGGGACTACAGCTATACGCTACCACAGCTGGCTAATTTATTTTCACGTTTTGTAGACACGGGGTCTTGCTTTGTTGCCCAGGCTGGTCCAGAACTCCTAGGCTCGAGCAATTCACCTGCTTGGCCTCCCACGGTGCTGGGATTACAGGTGTGGGCCACTGCACTCAGTCAACAGGCATATTTTGAACGGTTGAAAGCATAAGTGATTTGAACCAAAAAACAAAAACCAACCAACCAAACGAGCATAGAAGAATGTAACACTGAATAGTGTTCAGCCAGGGACACTGGCTGATTTAGGCCTCTGTGTTTCTAGAATATGAACTGCAGGCATCGCTATAAGGGGCCCAGAGCTGTGTGTCCTCAGGGGAGCAGGTACTCAACAAACAGGAGCCACTCTCGTTTTATTATTCAAAGGAACAGACCAGCACAATGGCTTATGCCTGTGATCCCTGCACTTTGGGAGGCCGAGGAGGGAGGATTGCTTGAGGCCAGGAATTTGAGACCAGCCTGGGAAACAAAGCGAGACCCCATCTCTACAAAAAATAAAAAATTAGCCAGGCGTGGTGTTCCCTGGAGTCCTGGCTACTTGGAAGGCTGAGGCAGGAGGATCACTTGAGCTCAGGAGTTCAAGACCAGCCTGGGCCATATAGTGACACCCTATCTCTACAAAAAATAAAAAATTAGCTGAGCATGGTGGTGCACAGCTGCAGTCCCTGCCACTCAGGAGGCTGAAGTGGGAGGATCACCTGAGCCTGGGAGGTTGAGGCTGCATTGAGCTGTAACTGCACCACTACATTCCAGCCTGGGTGGCACAGCAAGACGCTATCTCAGAAAAAAAGAAGAAAGGGACAGAGACAGGGCAGAGGCTTTGAAGACTGTTGAGATGAACATGGCTGCACCCACCTGCTGAACCAGGAGGTCGCCGATTTTCTGGATGACATAATTCCGGTCGCTGCCCTCCTCCAGGGACTCCTGGCGGCGCTCCTTGAGCCGAGCGAGGAAATGGCTGTGCGTCTCCAGCAGGTCGTCAGCACATGGGAAGAGGCGGCCAATAGCCTTGCTGCTGAACTGCAGCTCCTCCTGCAGGGCCCTGGAGTACACCTTCAGCATGATCTTGAGAGTCCGCACGTGGTGCACCTCCGTCTGCATCAGCTCTGCAGGGACACGGACGGCAGGACTTAGCCACGCTGGCTCCACGGCCCTGCTGGGCAGTTGTGGGTGCTGCCTGCCCTTCACGTACTGAACTGGCTTCTGAGAGTTCTCTGCCTAAGGCCTTGTGCCTTTGGGGTCTTTCTTACTTCCAGGGCATTCAGGGTTTAGAGTGCTGCAGGGGGTCCCAGCCTAAAGGAGCAGGGGAAGGAGACAGCCCTGGGACCTCCCTATCACAGGAGGGTTTTGTGTCCAGTGTCAACCCAACGGACAACATTTTAAGTCCGTGTGGTTATTGTTTTTTTGTTTTTTGTGTTTTTTGAGATGGAGTCTTGCTCTGTCACCCAGGCTGGAGTGCAGTGGCGCAGTCTCAGCTCACTGCAACCTCCACCTCCTGGGTTCAAGCGATTCTTCTGCCTCAGCCTCCCAAGTAGCTGGGATTACAGGTGCGCACCACCAGGCCCAGCTATCAAGTCTGTTTTTAGGAAGAAGAGTGTTCTGAGGAACACTCCTGTGGCTGTCAAAACTCACACGTCACATCTGTGTGTGTCCCTGACCACACCTAGAATGCAATGAACAAGATGTTTGCGTCCCCCAAAATTCGTATGTTGAAATTCGAACCCCCAAGGTGATAGTATCAGGAGGTGTGGCCCTTGGAAGGTGATGAGGTCAGAAGGGGAGAGAACCTCATGGTGGGACTAGTGCCCTTAGGAAAAGGACCTGAGAACTGGGGGTGGTGGCTCACGCCTGTAATCCCAGCACTCTGGGAGGCCGAGGTGAGCAGATCACTTGAGGTCAGGAGTTGGAGACCAGCCTGGCCAACACAGCGAAACCCTGTCTCTACCAAAAAATAAAAAAATTAGCCGGGCATGGCCAGGCATGGTGGCTGATGCCTGTAATCCTAGCATTTTGGGAGGCTGAGGTGGGCAGATCATGAGGTCAGGAGTTCGAGACCAGCCTGGCCAACATGGTGAAACACTGTCACTACTAAAAATACAAAAATCAGCCGGGCATGGTGGTGGGCACCTATAATTCCAGCTACTCGGGAGGCTGAGGCAGGAGAATTGCTTGAACCCAGGAGTTGGAGGTTGCAGTGAGCCGAGATGGAACCACTGTACTCCGGCCTGGGTGACAGAGTGAGACTCCATCTCAAAAAAAGAGAAATTAGCTGGGCATGGTAGCAGGCACTGTCATCCCAGCTACTTAGGAGGCTGAGGCAGGACAATCGCTTAAACCTGGGAGGTGGAGGTTGCAGTGAGCTGAGATTGC